TATATATATATATATATATATATATATATATATATATATATCATCATATGTATGAGAGCACAAGCCAGACAAACACACGCACATATATATGTGCGCGCGCGCGCCTGTGTGAGTGTGTGTGTGTGTGTGTGTCTGTCTCAACAATACTTTTATCCTCACTTACTTTCTTTAATATCTATCTTAGGACGATGGTATACGCCAATATTTGCGCGCCATGAACATTATACTAACAAATTCTTTATCCTGTTTTAAGACAGATACGATCTAAGGATACATGACGAATTGTATTGGCAGGACTATTTAGTATTGTTTCAGATAGTGTCATCGACACCATATCTTCTTTCGTTTAACTTATACCCTTCATATATCTTCATTTTTTTATGCTTTTTAGCCACAGCTTTGTTTTATGTATAGATATATATATATTGAGCTCGCAATGTCCCTTATTTCAGGAAAATTGTATACAATGACCTCGTGGCTATTACACCTGAGCAATATTTCAAGCAGATTACAAAACGTGTTGCTGCGATTAAAGCGGTATCGGTATGTATAATGAAAAAAATCTTTAAACTTGAAACATCAGTTAATGATTCTCGAGCACGATATGTAAAGCTTGCTTTAAATGGATGATCAATGATTCGTGTTAGAATTCAGAAATTTTAGAATTTTATCTATAATTTTGCTGCAACCTGAAAAAAATAAGTTTAAATATTTTGAGTTATTAAAATTTTTTAATAGTATTTTTAAGCGTGATTTTGATGTAATAACTGATTGTAGAAAAATAAAAGTATCTAGCTGTATATTAGGTCTTCAGTATATTAAATTCTTACCATTCTTTTGCAAACAACTAAAAAAATGACAATTTTTGAGTTAGGTCATTGTTGTGGCAAATGAGCGATATGTAAAATATATTAAAATACGCATGTAAATGCATATTTTGATACATATTATCAGCTATGTAAAATAACAGCATATATATAATTATTAATAGAATTTTATTTTGTAATCCGAAACGCGAATTATAGGCCATCTACAGAAGGCTCGAGAAAATGTTAGATACTTAGAAAATATTACTTTACAGAGTCCAGATGAACGTGGTATTATTGTACAAATACTCGAAAGTGGATACCGATTCGTGCTTGGTTCCATCGGTGGAGGTTTGTATATAAAAATATTCTTTTATTCGCATAATTATATAAATATACATATATATGATATATGTAACGCTGAACCTCGATACAGCGTTTTATCATATTATTATTATTATTATTATCGTGCTATAACAAAATAAAACAAGTATGGAACTAGAAATTATCGCGAAAGTAGTATCGTTTGTTTGTTGAATACATATTTTTAAATTGAGAAATGTTCGATTCTACAGTCCTTTATGATTGCAAATATTTTTACATTAAGGAAATATTTAGGCGTCAAAAATTCAAATTTGTTAAATATTTAACGCAAATATTTAACGAGACTAGAAAGTGAAATGTTGATATAATGCGAATACTGAATCATACAATAAATATAAAAGATACTTTTAATTAAAGAGATATCTGTACATAGAAGAAGATATATGAGAGCCTTATGCCGAGTCCAGCTCGACGTTGGTGTCTTCAAAATTAAAATATGAAAAGTATATATATTTTCATAAGTGCTATTTAAGGCGAATATTTATTTAAGATTAGAATTTTGTAATCACAATAATAATAATTTATTGAAGAAACAAAGAGATTATGTCTTTTTTAGCCGTTGGTGCTACCGCTGTATATCCTATCGACTTGGTGAAGACAAGAATGCAGAATCAGAGGACTGGATCTTTTATAGGCGAGCTGATGTATAGAAATAGTTTTGATTGTTGTAAAAAGGTTGGAATCGAAAAGTCTCCCCGTATAACACTCTCTGCATCGTTAATCATGAAGCTGGTCTTTTGCGTTTGACAGGTGATCCGGCATGAAGGTTTCTTCGGTCTTTATCGAGGCCTGGTGCCTCAATTAATGGGAGTAGCCCCGGAAAAGGCTATTAAACTGACAGTTAACGATTTTGTCAGGGATAAGTTTATGGATAAAAATGGAAATTTACCGCTGTATGGAGAAATTATGTCTGGCGCCTGTGTAAGTACGATACGTTCGTCCTCTTAGTATCTTGAAGCTTTTAAACGTGATTTTATCTAAGTGTGAATTTTAGAAATGCAACAAAATGCAAAATAGATTAAATATAGCAGGACCAAATATAAAACACAAAGACCATATTAATTTTGTTTACTTTTTGATAATGAAATAATACAGTAATTTAGTCAGATGTGTGGTCGCATATATTCTTATCGCACACTTGGCCAATTGGCAAAAGCGAACAAAGAACGTCTGTAACAAGCATGATTTTTCCGTAGGCTGGAGGATCGCAGGTCATATTTACCAATCCTCTAGAGATAGTAAAAATCCGGCTACAAGTAGCTGGCGAAATTGCAGCAGGGTCAAAAGTTAGGGCGTGGACCGTCGTCAAGGAATTAGGTCTTTTTGGATTGTACAAAGTGAGTAATCATGATAATTTTGATACCGATACATCCATTGTCTTTCCTTACAAGACATCCGATGACAGCAATTGCAATTTTCTCATAGGGTGCTAGAGCTTGCTTTTTGCGAGACGTGCCGTTTAGCGCAATTTACTTCCCTATGTATGCTCACACGAAAGCGCGATTGGCCGACGAAGGGGGTTACAATACGCCATTGTCGCTCCTCGTTTCTGGCGCGATCGCCGGTGTACCTGCAGCAGCGCTGGTCACCCCTGCGGATGTAATAAAAACGAGATTGCAGGTGCACCTCTCACTCTAATTACCGGTACATCCAAATACGATTATTTTACGATTATGTTGTCACGCGTATTCCAGGTCGTAGCTAGAGAAGGTCAAACTACGTACAACGGACTGCTGGATTGCGCGAGGAAAATTTACAGAGAAGAAGGTGCTAGGGCATTTTGGAAAGGCGCGACAGGTATATTATTTTTACTATGTTTTTCATGCAAATAAGGCTCTCAAGACAATTAATATTTTCTGCATGCACATTGGGAAATTTTTTAAACATTTACGAACGCCAATATATCATACTTTATCGGTAAAATGACTGTTGCAAAAGAATTAAGTAAACTACGCGAGAGGAAAATTTTTCTGTCAAACGTCAAAGTAATCGAATCGATTATATTCCACTTATTACTATATTGTATAAGGATCGAGTAAAAATGAAAAGAGATTCTCATGGTTCTTTCGTTCCAATTTTTTAAGTATCATTAGTAATATGTTTTGCTTTGGTCGATTGCATGCGCGGGGGATCAACCCTGCTGCATCTTTCAACCTTATTTCCTCCCCCATATGACCCGGCGATTTACTTATCAGTAAGTACTTATTCTTCTCTTTGTCTTCCTTTATGATTTATGTCTTTATTCTCGTTTTTCCCAATCTGCAATAAATATACTTACTCTTGGTACTCTTTGTCTTATGCTCGGAATGTTTATTAAATCTAACATGTCTCACATCATCTTATATTCACGCATTTTTTCAGCTGTAACTTTAAAAGTGCATGTCAATAAAGCAAATATACTTTTTTAGGACATACGATATGTATGTACAGTATATTTCGGATTTATATTGCAACATTTTCATATTTTTATCAAAAATAGTAGTGATATAGTGTTATATTAATATTGATGAAGTTAATACTTTTTCGACTCAGGAAAGAGCTAATATAAATTATTTTTCATTTATTTTACGCCGCTTTCGAGAGAAAGTAAATGTTTACGAAAACAAAATGATATCGTCGAAATTTTTATTCACACAACAGATTAATTTCATAAATAGTATGATATACTATTCTATAAATGAATTACGCTATAATGTGTTATAAATTATTGCAATTGCATAACATAAATATATTGATACAAATTTTATATATGCAATTGCATTAATAACAATTATAATTATTGATTTATTATAATCCGTTGCATTAAGCATACATTTATTCAATTACAACATATCGATATACATTTATTCGATAAAGGGCAATTGCCAATCTTGTTCTTCTGATCTTTCTCTTGTCTCTAATCTATAAAAGTACGCGAAATCATATAAAATAACATGTGAATATAGCATATGTAATTTTTTAAGCTTTATTTTTTAAGCGGTAAGTCTTTAATTCTGAATTCTTTATTGACTAGCATTTTCTCAACTGTGGTTGATCTTTGTTTATAGATACATATAATCTCATAGAATTAACCGCACTATAAATAAAAATATAATTGCATTTGATATAAAATGGACAGAAATTAAAACTGTATAATTACGATTTGTAACTATTATCACTTTTTGAAATATCACACACAATATCTTTTATCTGAAAAGAAAAATAGCCATCATATCAACATGCTTGTCATCAAAACGTCCCAAATCTTTATTTGGACAAAGAATATAAAGCGATATGCACGTTCAAAACTATGTATACAATATCCAATATCACATACGTACTTTTCTATTCTTACAGCTCGAGTGTTCAGATCGTCACCTCAGTTTGGTGTCACTCTCTTCACGTATGAATTGCTGCAAAGACTGTTTGTGGTCGATTTTGGAGGATCGTAAGTATATACTTGATATACTTACTTGAGGAATCGATTAGAATTTTTAATTCGTTACTACGCAAATTTAGGCTGGAGATCGATAGCGTGCCTAATTATAGTAATTATATACGCTGATACAAACTTCTAAAATCGCAAAATTCGTTTATTATTGTAAAATATTTACGTTTTAATTTACAAATCTGTAACGATGCTCATGTTATTTACAGCCGACCTACCGGCTCGGAACAAAAGGTGCCTACCATGGGAGTCGCGGATGAAATTCGATCAACGAACCCAGATCATATAGGTGGCTACCAAGTAGCTCTGCCCATCTTCACGGGTATAGAAACCAAGTTTGGTCTTTGCCTACCCAGGTTCCAAGCTGTTATCGGAAAGTAACAGTATCATTAGCAGCTATGAGAGAAAACAAGCTTTGTAGCAATCCCTGCCATAAATATGTATAATCTACGAGTACTGAGCGCCGATTGCTTCACCGACTGGGACGCGGACGTGGTGCGTGTGAGCTTTACAAACTACGTAAATCATGAATTCTGCGCGATTCTGCGTTCCATGATTCCATCATTTCAACAATCATCTCGGCCATTTCGGTACCATGCAAACCACATGAAATCGACAAGAAGGAATAATCGTCGGTTGATGTTGATACTAATACTTGATGTGTACGACATGTGTAATTATAGATCGATGGAGGAGAAGTACAAAATCCGTCGTTGCGGTATGTCCAAGAACATTCGTGATAACTGAGTCGATGCAGTCAATTGACACAGGAACAAATCCGATGGCATTAAAACTATTTATTTTGATACTATATAAATATGTTATTTCAAATTAATGCCATCTGTATGTAATTATTTTACAAAGCGAGAGAAAGAGAGAGAGAGAGAGTGTGTGTGTGTGTGTGTATGTGTGACGTTTATCGACGATTTGTTATCGCTAACTTTAAACAGTTGAAACGTTTCTGCCGATACGCGTATATCAACAAATTAAATGTGTGTTCGTTAAATCGCGAATGATTAACACCAACGAATATGAGTGTGATGTTTTAGTGAGGATTAATCCGCGATGGCCCTGACGTGTACGCACCACCATATATTTATAAAGCTCAGAGTAATAACGAATTAGGCCTCTACAATTACATTTATTATTTATCCAAATGCCTAGTTATGTGTATTAACTCTTATAGCTGGTGAATAAAAGGCCAATAAATTTGTTTTTATTGTTCGTTCATGTACAACTGCGAAGTAATTGTTGACAGGTAATATTCGTGTGTGTGTGTGTGTGTGTGTGTGTGTGTGTGTGTGTGTGTGTGTG